CCCACATATAAGCTGATTAAGCCAGAAGAACCCTCTGTTAGCTGGTCTCTGAACAATAGAGAGGTGGGGGCTGTATTGGTGTTTGGGTTTCAGTGGACTGAAGGGACAGAGAATAGAAGGGGCGATGCCCTAGGCTATAGTGACTAAAGGAGAAGCCCGGCCAGTGGTCAAGCATGAGTTGTGGAAAACAAAACCAGGGCCCTCTGAAGGTCAGAAATAATCATAGCAAGGGCTGGATTTCCCATAGCTCCATAGAACGGAGCAAGCATTTATATTTGGGTATTGTGGGAGTCGATCCTGCATGTCTTGAACACTGGAGGCAGGTTCCATATGCATTACAAAACACGAGATATAATTTAATCACGTATCATAGGTTTACTTGTAAAAATGGAGCCCTAAGTAGAGTTTGATATCTTGCCTTTTTTTATATAGCATTTAAAAAGTAGTTTTCAGGGCTAGCTGGTGGCGACTGTGGGGAGGGGTAAGGTAGCTGGATCCCACATGGCAGATTAAGCAGTTCAGGTCCCGGATCCAGCAGCTTGGAAAACATGCCAGGAGCATATGCATGTGTGCCCACAATCCTGAGAGGAGATTGGAGGAGAATGGTTAAGCTGGATAAGTCCAGCAGGTTAAGGTGCTGGACTCCCACATGGCTGACTACGGTTTGAGTCCTGGACCTGGTGACTTGCTTTCTCACTTTCTCTCTCTTTTTCTTTCTCTCTCTGGTGAGTATGCATGCCCTACAGAAGATAAAAACCCAAACAAAGCACATAAAATTAAATAAATAATTCGTTAAAAGATAGTTTTCTATTGTTTCCGAATTTTATTTTATTTACTTCTTTCACAAGTGACAGAGACAGCATCCCCAACAGGGTCTTGTTGCATCCCCAGATTTTGGTCAGCCTAGGATCATGGGCATGTGTGCATTTGGCTTATTCAGGGAGGTCTCTGGACGTGAACCTGGACCCTTCCTGTGTGGGACTACCTGGAAAAGTTTTGTACGTGACCACTGGGCCACTGTTTGGCCCCCATACAGAATTTCATTGAAGGTATTTTAATCATTTAAATGAAATGTTTTGAAAATGCAATTTCTCAATAGCAGGAAAAGGATACACCAAAATTTTCAAAACTATTTGTTGTTAGACATGTAGGATGTTTTCCATTTTTTTTTTGCCTATATATAAATGACAATGTGATACAAGGAGGTCTATTATTACCATTTTTGAAATAGCTTAACAATACAATATGATACGAAAAAACAAGAAAATAATTATAAGAAAAGAGACAACATAGGTTGTCTTTTTTTTTTTTTTTTTCTTCTCTGCCGTAAGGGAAACCTTGTTGGGGTTACTTGTCTCTCTCATTCTCACTCATGGAAGAAATAAAACTTTTTTTGAAGAATTATTTTACTTAGCTTTATTTACTTATTTTCATTTGACCAGAGAGGGACAGAGAGAGAAAGAGAGACGGAAAGTGAGAAAGCAAGCTGCCAGGTCTGGGACTCAAACTGCGGTCAGCCATGGGGGAATCCAGTGCCTTTAACCACCACACCACCTGCTGGCCCCCAAATGGATACAGTTTTTTAAAAAAAGATATTCTTTATAGACCTCATGTCAGGGTAAAAGTCTTTATTATTTATTTATTTATTATTATTATTTTTTCTTTTTCTTTTTTTTGGAGAGGTTTTTGCTATAGGGCGCGTGCACTCGCCAGACAGAGAGAGAGAGAGAGAGAGAGACAGAGAGATAGAAAGCAGGAAATCACCCCCCAGGGGGGATGGCCACGCCACAATCCCTTCTCCTCCACTCTCCTCTTGGGATCTTGGGCACGCACGCACACGCACCCGGCGTGAGTTCTAAGCCACCGGGTCCGGGACGTGAACCACGGTCGACTACGTGGGAGTCCAGCGACATAGCCATTACGCTAACTGCTGGTTCCCAGCACTACAACTCTTAAGAAAATGAAACAATACAATTTCCCACAGCCACAACGGCAATCACTACCTGCCTACCAAACTCCAAAAAGAAATCCCAAGACGAGAATGAAGAAGGGATTACAGCACGGTCACCTCCCTGGGTGTGACCACTCTTGCCCTCTCTTTGTCTCTCTTTGGTGAACACATGTGCCTTATGGGGGCGGGGGGGACCAGACCACAGCTGTGGTGGCAATTAGGTGGTTACATCTTGAAAATGTCAAGGATCTCCCTGCTCTGACCATGCCTTGCAGCCGTGGGACAGTGTGCACACGTGGTCTGTTACTTGGGAGGACTTGGTGGTGCCAGCAGGGTGCTCTCTGCTCAGGGCATCCTTCATGCGTGGGTTGGCAACTGAGAAGCCCTCAGTGAGACAGATCGTGTGGACACAGGGAGCCAGGCACACTGGGCTGGGCCAGGAAAGGGTGGGAGTCAGGGAACCCCAGGGCTTGCCCTGTTTTCTCTAGCTGGTGCTGTACATCTCAGATCTCAGATAACTTCAGGGCGCTTGCCTGGTCTCTCCTGAGCGCTGTGTCTCATCTCAAAGACTTGAAGTCCTCCGTAGGAGGCAGTTCCCTGGTGACCTTTACAACCGAGGCAGGAGAAAGCTAGCAAATAACGTGGGTAAAGGGGCTGGAGCACCTGCCCATGTGGCTAGATAGAAAACTCAATTAGGGGACCAGCAGTTAGCATAATGGCTATGTCGCTGGACTCCCATGTAATCGACCTCAGTTCAAGTCCCGGACCCGGTGGCTTAAACTCATGCCAAGCGCATGTGCGTGTGTGCCCAAGATCCCGAGAGGAGAATGGAGGAGAAGGGATTGCAGCGTGGCCATCCGAAGGGATGGCAGCGTGGCCATCCCCCCCACCCCCCCGGGGTGCTGATTTCTCGCTTTCTGTCTCTGTGTCTCTCTCTGTCTTTCTGGCGTGTGCACACGCCCTATAGCAAAAACTTCTATTAAAAAAAAAGAAAAGAAAAAACTCAATTAGGGTAGAAAATTCCCCACCAAGGTAACTAGGTGGGAGATTCGTAGGGGATGCCTCACTGATTAGGCCTCATTTGATAAGGACATGAGATCAATCCGTGGGCCCAGCCAATGATCAGCCCACAGAATCTAGATTTAAAAATGATAAACCTCGTGGAATGTAACTGATGAGGCAGTACTTAAAAAATATATATTTTATTGAATGAATGAACTAATTAATTTAAATTTGACCAGAGAGGGAAAGTGAGAAAGCAAGCCACTGGGTCTGGGACTCCAACCGCTGTCGGCCACGTGGGAGTCCAGGGCTCCTAACCACCACACCACCTGCCACGCCCTGCCGGGGTGTTTTGAGCCACTGCTCCTCTGTCTACCCAGGCTCGCTCCTACCTCCCAGGAGTATACTTTTACTTAATAAACTACCTTTTCCATACACTATTTGTGTGTTTCATCAAGACCCTGGATGTCATCATGGAAGCCAGCCCGCAACACAAGACAGCTGCTAGGCTGGATTTTCCTTAAGCGAGGAGATCTCAGATAGCCCCCCGCCCCAACCCACACACGTGCAAACGCACATGGTGGATGGTGGCCATCCTCTGATGGGTAACTCCAGGCCGAAAGCCTCAGGAGGGAGTTCGAGTCCTCCAAGTACAAAAACCAACTCCCACCCCCACCACAATAATGAATGGGCAACCACATTGATTTGAGTATTTTATTTATAAATGTACATTTGCTATAAAAGCTGTTGCATTTTTAGACAACTTTTTCTTTTCTTTTCTTTTTTTTTTTTTTACTATTTCTCAGAGGCATTTTAGAATAAATATTTTAAAGGAAAGTTAGTGTAACTGGTAATAGAACATTGGCCCACCCAGAACAGTAACATTGTTTTGGACGGACTCACGCAGGAGGTGGATCATTTCAGTTCGTTAAATCTTACGCTGTGTATAGATCGCTATCATCGGTACTGCATTAATAACACTACATAGAAAGGAGGAGGAAATGTCGTGGAAGTCTGCTAGTGAAAAACAGAGAGTTACCCATTTGTTTCTTAAGAAAGAGAAGGGACGAGCTTTCGGTGAACGAGGAACAACACGCCGATCTTCTTCCTCGAGAACGATCCATCACTCACTTGCCTCTTCTGTTTCATAAACAAACCCATTTCCATGAGAGCTCATGAGAGCAGAGCATTATTTGTATTTATTTATTTATTTATTTTCCGGGGGAATCTCAAAGATGATTTGAAAAGAAATAGATCATGCTCATGAGGCCGCATGGGAAAACAAAAAAAAAAAACAAGAGCCAGTCTGCCTGAGCTGCCACGTAACAGACTCCAAATGCAATATAAATCAAATCGAAATAGAAACAGTTGGCAATTAGAATTTAGAAAATGTTGGAGATGATCCTGTTGCTGGTGACTAGGGTCTTCATTACGGGAAAGCGCGTTGGGAAAATGGGAGAATGGGGATTTAGGTTTCTTGACTCGACACTAGCTTCGATCCATGTACAATGAGCCTCGCTAAGAAATATGTATAAATGGGCCCGTGAAGCCCGAAGAGAATGCGCAGTATTCCTATAATCCTTACGTAATGAATGAAGTTCCACATGTAAAAAGGAGTCTATAAAAATCGGTTATGAATGACCATACTGTCCGCGTTCGGTGCAGTATGGAGGGGGTGAAGCAGTCCTCTGCTAAAATCATGCCAAGTGTAAACATCCACATTATCAAAATACTTCATAAAACATGCAGGTGGTTACTCAAAATATCGGGTTGAATCTGTACATGTTCCACACGTTTTCTTTCTTTCTTTCTTTTCTTTCTTTTTTTTTTTTTTTTTGAGTTT